CTTTTTGATAAATAATTCGTTCTTATTGCGAAATAGGAGCACTATTTATCAATCTGTAATAAAAGACGTGAGGAAATTCTGTCTTTTTTTAAGACCAAAATTTTTGAGGCGAAATACCCAAAAAGAAGTTTGTAAAAAATGAATCCGCCTCAACAATATAGAACTCATCTACGCTGTTTAGTGTGCCATTTTCATGCCACGCAAACTTACTTGGTACTTAAACAGGATGTTGTTGGACCAACAGTCGCCATGCACCAAAGTCGAATACTTCCCAACATAGTCAAATCCCCTGCTAAAAGCCGCAGGAACATCGGCTATCAGTAGCTTAAGCCTGGCAGCTATTTCCGCATCGGTTGTCTTAATGTAGTCGTAGGACAAGTTCAACCTCTCGGCCATTCCCGTGGTGATTTCTTCGAAGTCTTTGAACACCCCAAAGACATCCTGGATTGGCTTCATGAGTGTCTGGTACTTTTCGGGATTGCTTGCCTTATAGGCGAAAGTCAATGCGTGGTACTTTCCATAGGTTTCAAAGATCAGTCTTAGGTGTTTCTCGTCGATAAACTGGCTTTTGTCCAGCAGAACGTAATCGAGGGCTTTCAGGTCGATGAGGGCGAGATACTCCTGGCCCTCCTCCAAGCTGCCGCAGTAGAACTTGGGAATTTTATCAAATGGCTCCTTGACGCCCTGGACTCTCTGGAACTGGTCCAGCTCCGGAAGGATCTTCGCGTAGAAATTCACCTCGTTTATAAAGGCAGGTTCGATGATTTTCGTGCCTCTTGGAGGCTTCACTTTGATGTAGATCTGAAGCAGCTCTCCCGTATCCTTGTTTTTGATGTTGCCCGTGTAGAACTCACTGAGGAATCCATCGCCGCTTAAAGTTTCCAAATTGGGGGTGATTTCACAGTTGCTAATTCCTTCTACTTCGGCTACCCGCTTTAGGATCCGCTCTACTCGATCTAACACACTCATTTCTGAGATTTCGTGTAATATGGGCCAAACAACTTAAACAAGGTGCATGAATTGCTTATACTACAATCGCTAGTTTACTCTCAATTAACTTTGTGTTATTATCTGATCGTTTATATCATGCTATTTTCTATAAATTGTGCTTTAAATCCTCAAGGACATAATAGTGTTATCTTGTTGTACGTTGTTTGATGATTGGTCCAATTCAGCCCAATTCTGTTTTGCTTTGATTTAATGGAAATCTACAGTAAAATCAAGCTGCAAAGTTCAAGGGCTGATTCAGATCTAATCGAAACGTGAAACTGCACAAAATGATGTTTTTTTGGTTTGGACTGATTTTTTTTTCTTCTCTTTCCACTCAAAAACGCTCTATTTTGGAGAGTTTCACTTAAAAATACTGACGATCTGGAGGACTTTTACGCGAAAAATTACAAGATAAATTTACAGCTTAGTAAAAATTTTACCAAAACGAAAATAAATCCCTCCCGTTTTTCCCAACACCGATCACAAAMCWRWAAGKTTTTMATCSAAAACGCAMAMAATCGCATTATTTTTAGTTTTAWYTAAAATACTGACAATYTTTAGGTATTTTCTGCGAAAAMTTATGATACTTTTTCAAAAACACTCGCCTCCTTAATCGCWGTTCCAAATTTTWTKSGAAACTTTTTGCAGCTTCSAATTATGGACAAAACCGTAATAATTATTTCTGGGTGKTTTTCCAAAAATATTTTCCTAACRTTTTACTGTAAAATACTGACAAACTGRAGCTTTTRTGCAAAAAAATGAAGAGATCGATTTTACAAGAAAACTCGACGACTTCCTTTGGACTCAGTTCCGTTGTARGRAAAATCTAGATGACTTTTTTAGTTGTTTGAACAAAGTAGTAAAACAAATAAATTAAAAACCTCAGCTAATTCTTTGAAGAACCGCGTTTCTATTCCACGGAACTGGAACCCTCATCAGAGGCTTCAAGTTTCAACTTCATGCTCTGGAAAGTTAATGTGAAAAGTTTGAAATTCTGGTTTGAGACGTTTTTACTAGCAATTTTAGGCAATTCTTGAAGCTCTTAAACGGGGGTTTCTTTGGATTTTTGTCAATTTTGATCAGTTTTGTTAGTAATAGAACTTTGGGCAATGAGGACCAGCCAGAAGGTTGCATTTGAAATTATTAGATCAAGTTGTATTTGCTCTATAGTTCTGCGAGTGTCGCTTTACTCAACGCAAGTTTTGTCATTTTTACGAAATTTTGTTGCAAGTTTTTTAGTTTTTTTCCGTAACAATATTGAAGAAATTTTCATTTCAAAGCGAAAGTCGAAAATCAATGCAACAGTGTCACTGTAGGTTTTCCTGAATTAGTTTTTCAATTGAAATTGACCGAAAAATTATTTCGTTTTGTAGGCACCTGGAGGCATTTTTCGGATGTAATTTATCGAATTGCTCGAAATATCGTTTTTTAATTTACATACATTAGGGTTTTCAATTAAAATGAATGAGATTTTTTGGGTCAAAATAGTCAACTTTCTCGAAAACTATTAAGCGCATTTGGGACGGTTTGAGGTTTTTT